TTAGCACTGAGTTCATCTTCTCTATTTTAGAACATTTAAGACTATCTGTTTTATTTTGATCTTCATTGTCTACATCTTTGGATTGAGTGAGCATGACCTTTCCTGCTTTACAGGTTCCTTCCATCTTTTCCTCTGCCCAAATTTGCTAACGAAATATTTCCTTCAATACATCTGTTCTTTTGTTGGCATCTTTAGGATTTTCATAAGAAAACCTATAAAAATAAAAGTTCTCATAGCTTAGGGCAGCTACCATAAGCTAGACAGCTGCATCATGAGAACGCATAACCAACATTCTTAGTATCATTTAAATAACATAAGTGATTAGCTTTTAATGAGAGGAGGATCTATCTCTACCAAATCTCTAGACGCCGCTAGAGCCCAAAGAAAACCTAAGCCTAAGAGATCTCAAATTTTAGCCAAATTCAAGATGCCCTAATCCTATGAAAAACAAATTATTTAATGCATACAATTCAAAGAAAATCTCTAAACAATCCCTGCATTCAATTTCCCTCCTAAACGCCACCAAAAATCCTTCCTAAATTACTCCTTGAAGACTGCACGGTCGGCTCCTGCGTAAAGGATGCAGAGAATTCCGCCCCTTTTCGCGTGAACCGGACCACAGGGGACCGGCTGGACCAGTCTAATAATATGAACAGTAGGACTCCTTCCAATCCCCTCACGCTTCCCCACATACCCTCTACCCGACTCCTTCCTAGGAATAGCTCCCCTATGGAAGGCATTTTTCATGTTCCCACCAAAATCTCCACCTCTTGATCTTCCTTTTGCCTGATTGGTTTTGGATTTTCCCCACTTCTGTGGTTGTCGGTGCCTTCCTTCACCTCTGACGGCAATATTTTGGTTTAGCCCTCGAGCATTTTCTTCAACATTTTCTCCAGGATGAAAAATGTCGAATCAAACTTATCATGGATGGCCAAATCATCTTTTTTTAAAATCTGAAAATTGAGTTTGGATATATGAAATTTCAAATTTCATTTCTCCAATCTCCACTTCGAGGCATTTATCTAACGCATCCATTTTCTTGGCTTCCATTGACGCTCGAATTTTTGTAGAAATAAAAATCTGAACTTCAACCTTCAAAAACAGCAACTTTCTTCATCGAAATTCCAAGAACAACGGCTGGAATTCACCATATCAGCCCACAAAAGTCCAAAAAACAGCTCTTATACCAATTTGATAGGAAACACTCAACCCCAACAGTGAAAACTGCTGCTTCCAAAGAAAAATAACAGTAACAGAGCAGAAAAGTCAAGAAAAATAGTAGAAATAGTAAAACAATTTGAGAGAAAACACTTGGAATTCTATTAGACTAGTCCACTGGACCGGTCCAGCCGGTCCGCACGGGACCGGCAAAGTCGCGTAATACGCGAAATCTCAGCTGGAGGCGGAGATCGAGCGGGCCGTTCGCTCAAGAAGAGCATTTTAGGAAGCGTTTTTGACGGTTTTGAGAGGGAAATTTGAATGTAGGGACTGTTTAGGGATTTCCTTTTGATTTGTATGCATTAAATAGTAGATTTTCCTAGGGTTTGAGCATCTTGAATTTGGCTGAAATTTGAGATCTCTTAGATTTAGGTTTTCTTTGGGCTCTAACGGTGTCTAGAGATTTGGGAGATATCGATCCTCCTCTCGAATTGAGGATCAATTGTATCTT